AGGAGGGGCCTAGAATGGTCCCCCACCTGGGAAGCTCGTTCCAGCCACACTCTGGCCTTGGCTTTCCCCTCTCCTGCTGCTGGGTGCTGAGGGTCCGCCTTGCCTGGCAGCCGAGTCTATGTGGGTCACGATGTGCACACAGCACAAATACACCCATCCGTGAGTATCCAGACACCCCTGTGTAGCCTGTCCCACACCCACATGCATACCCATAGGCACGCTGCTGCTGCTCACATCAGCAGCCAAAAGAACCCTGAACCTTCAAAAGCAGGGCCCCCAGGAGTGAGTCGGTTGTGTTTTCTCGGTGTGTGAGCTGAGGTTTGGGCAGATGAATTTTTCATGAGTTCATGGAAGAGCGGAACCAGAACAGAGGCTGGGGCCGAGCAGGGAGGGGCGGGGGAGGGCAGGCTTCCAGGCTCCTGCTGCTGCTGATTTGGCCTGTGGCTCTGAGAGGCCAGAAAGGTAGTGTCAGGGCTCTGTCCATCTGTCTGTCCAGTGCAAGGCACTCTTAGCAACTAGCCCCAGGGCTCAGGATAGGGGAGGATAGGTGGGTTTCGGGGCAGCCCACACAGAACTGCTTCTTTCTGCCACCTCCAGATTCCAGGGAAAAGAAAGAGGAAGAGAAACCCCTCTCACCAGGGGTCTCAGATCCAGGCCCTGTTCTCTGTGGGCAAAGCAATTTGATGTTCCTGTACTGGAACCTTGGTACCTGCTTGTCACTCAAGGCACGGTTGCCCTGACAACACCCTCCCAGACAGGCAGGGGCCTGTGCTCTCAGCAGAAAGTGCTGGCCGTGATTCAGGCTGCCAGGCTTGGGGGCTGGGTTTTCAGTTGAAACTGCTGGGGCTGGGCCAGGCTGGGCCACTCTCCACCATGGGTGCTGCTGCCCCAGACAGCCCAAGTCTGAGAACATCCCGCAGGGCTCCAGGACATGCAGACAGTGCTGAGCCTTTTGGAAACATTCCCTGGAGCAGCTCTAGGTTTTAGGTGTCCCTAGGCCAGTCCTTGCATGGGAGTGGGCATCCCTCTCTCAGGAGACTCCAAGCACTTTCAGCTCAACACAGAGTTTCTGGGAAGCCCATGTAAAGCTGTGTGTCACCTTCTATCTCCATCAGAGATGCTCTAAAGTAATTCCCTCCATTCCTCTGCCTCTAGGAAAGACTAGGCTTCTCTCACTGCCCCATAGGGAGAAGCAGAGCTGACCCTCCAGTGATCTCTGGGCAGCTGGGAGGGAGAGGGCTGGATCATGGGTCACCCCCAGACCATGTGAGTATCTGATACTGCGTGATGGGGTTGAGATGGCTGGTGGGCCCATCCACAGGCAGTGGGATATCTGCTTGAAGTGAGTCAGTAGCCATGTCAGGGGTAAGGAAATGGGTCCACGGTCAGGGCCAGGAGATCAGACTGTGGCCAAGGCAGGGATAAGGTGGTGGTCGATCTGGAGTTTTGTCTCAGTAGGAGACTAGAGCTATGAGGGGCTCAGAGGTCGTAAATCCCAATGCCTCCAGGGGCCAGTCAGGGAACAAAACTATAAGCAGCAGCCAAGTGTAGACAATAGGGAGGGGTGGGGTCTGTGGTGAGCCAGGGAGTGCCCGCTGGCCTGAAAGGCCTTCAATGTGAAGTCAAAGTTCGTAATATAATGCACCCTGTGCTAGAGACCACCTGTGTTTCCATGGTCAAGGGTCAGTCTTTGGTGAAGTTCAGTGCTCTGCCTGTGGACGGAGGCAGAGGTTTTCTCTAGAACACTCACTCTGCATGCTGTGTTAAACCTGAGCTTCCTGGGGATTGGATTTGTACTCAACAACAATGAATAACCACTGAGCAACCACTTGGCACTCACTCTGTCCATTTATATTTATCAGTCTCTCATCCTCTCAACTCTGTCAAGAAGGTATTATTATCACCTCTCTTTTTCAGATGTGGAAAGTGAGGCATGGGGCAGGTAAGCAATTTCTCAGGGCCGTACAGCAGCCTATGGTAAAGCCAGGACTCCAAAGGTCTGTGCTCTTAACCATCACACAGTTCCGCCCCTGTGTCCTGGTCACACTGCATGTCCCAAAGAGCTGCTGGGCTCATGTCTGTCCAGATGCTTGCAGCTAAGGGGCAGTGGTCCTGGCTACAGCCAAGAGGGGCTTCTCTCCTGCCCTATCCTCTGGAGTGCTTGGGAGCCAGCTGGGGGTGGGACCTCCGGTGACCAAGTGAGTACAGCAGGACAGGGACCTTTGCAAGAAACTGTGAGCACTCGCAGATCAAGATCATGGGGCATCTGCCAGATTCTGCCTGTGCAGAAGGGTTTTACACCCTTGAGATCAGGCTGCTGCCTTTAAGTAAAATTTAACCCTGGGGCCTTTCAGAGTGCTTGTATTTTGCGTCCTTTTGGTGAATTGTCCGTGGCTGGCTTCATTCTGTTTAGAGTATTGTGTTGTGACCGAACCTCCTTAGCTCATTTAATCATCTCTTCACCTAATCTCTTAAATCATACGAGTTTCACCTTTTTCTAATCCTGCCTTGTGAAAAGTGTTTTATTTATATCTCACATTTTATGCAGCTCTGCTTTTAATCTTTTACCACCTTTTTATGATTTTATTTTTACCCTTTTATATTTTAGCTTTGTCACACTTTTATCCTTTTGCTTTTTGACATTTTGGTTTTACATTTTTTACCTTGTCTAGTCAGAGCTATAAATTATTTAATTTTTCATCTTTCTTAATATCGTTCCTTTTCATCTCATTCCTTATCTTCATTTTCTCTTTATTATTTTCCCTTTTAGCCTTTTTATTTTGTTCTCTGTTAACTCTCCTTTTATCTTTTCTATTTTTATCCACATCAATCTTCCTTTAATTGCTCATCAGTCTTCACTCTAATCCCTTTGCTTATTTTATTTATTTTTATTTTTTACATTTTTACATTACAGTTTTTCTCCTGTTCCTGTTGAGATCTTTTGACTTACTGGTTTTAGCAATCTCTGATTTTTATATTTGTTTAGTTAACACAAAGTTGATCAATAAAAACTGGCGGGATGTGTGATTGTGAGGAAGATACCAGTGGGGGTCTTTTCCCAAAGAGGGAGTAGGGGTCTCCCCGACCCTCCTCCTGGCTCTGTCAGCAGCTTGTCTGTCAGCACCATGAGATCTCTGTCACCTTGAATGTGGATCCTGTTAATAATCATAACCCTGGGGACTGGTGATGAGACCCACAAGCTAAAACTCCTCTCTAGATGCGGACAGTACCCCTGGTGTCTGCCACTCGCTGGGATTCCTAGAAGAATGACTTTGTTACTATTACATCTGCTATGGTCTGAATTTATGTTCCCTCCAAAGCTCATGTGGAAGCTTGATCCCCAACGTGGCAGTGTTGAGAGGTGAGGCTTTTGGAAGGTGACTGGGTGGTGAGGGCTATGTCCTCAGGAATGGATTAATCCATTCATGGATTAATGGATTAATAGGNCTCATGTGGAAGCTTGATCCCCAACGTGGCAGTGTTGAGAGGTGAGGCTTTTGGAAGGTGACTGGGTGGTGAGGGCTATGTCCTCAGGAATGGATTAATCCATTCATGGATTAATGGATTAATAGGTTACTAGACAGGTGGGTTATCACAGGAGGGGCACTGGTGGCTTTATAAGGACAGCAAGTGAGCACGTTAACATGCTCTTGCCACACTTGCCATGTGATACCCTGTGCTGCCTCAGGACTCTGCAGAGAATTTCCACCAAGAAGGCTCCCACCAGATGTTCTCTCTTGACCTTGGACTTCCCAGTCTATGAAACCACAAGAAATAAATTCTTTTTCTTTATAAATCACCCAGTTTCAGGTGTTCTGTTGTAAAATGACAGAAAACTGACAAATACAACATCCCTTCCTGTTCCTTGGCATCCACCACCCAGCCACTGAGCACAAACATGAAGAGTCACACCAGAGGGGGTGGCACAGGACCACCTGCTAGGGCCTGGCTGAGCTGCCTGTGGTGGGGGAGCAGGTGGAGCAACGCTGTTCCAGCACGTGGAAGGGGCCCAGGGCATGAGACCATCTGCTCCAGGTTCTATTCTGTTGCAGCCTTACTTCACCCAAAGTGGGATGAGCTCCCTTTTGGAATAACCTCAGCACGTGGTCCTTACAAACACACTTGCTTTATTATGACAAGAAGCTGACTAGGACCAGTCTTCATTCAGAATGAACTACGCTGTGACTGGGCTGCCTTCCCCCGAGATGGCCCGGCTTGGGTCCCCAAGAGCAGGGCTGTGTCTCTGAGGGGGTCTGTCCTGAGCCTTTGGACACCATGAAGCCTTCCAGGAGGGACTGGAGCATGTGGAGTGGGAGCAACACTGGTTAGTAAAAAGGGGCCAGCAGCCTGGGTCTGTCCTCCTGTCCCCCTGAGCTCCGAGGTGCTGAGAACCTGGGAGAGCCCAAGAGTCCTTTCTTGGGCTGAAATGGGTCAGGAGAAGGAGGGCACTGTTTGGTCCTGGGGAGTGGAGGGAAGATGGGATGCAAGTCCATTTGGGTGGCCGTGCCTGGCAGCCACTGGGCAGTGTGGCAGGATACTGTAGAGTGTGGCAGGAATATAGGCTCCCAGCACCCACTGGGCACTCTGGGCATGGCCACAGCACCCAGCTCAGCTGGGGTGAATTGTGGGGAGGCGCCTTTCCCTAAGTCCTGTTGCAACAAGAGTGGCCCTCTTACTTTCACCTCCAGCCTGGATCCTACAAGACATCGGGGCAGAGTGTGGGTGGGGGTACGATGCAGAGTGCGGGGTCTTCCACCTGCATCCGTGAGCAGAGTTGCTGTGTTCCTCCTGCTCTCTACGAGTTTCTGAGTGACCCTAGATGTTTCCACTTTCCTGCAGCCCCCTTGCCACCATCTTCTGGCCTCCCAGCAGCCTCATAAGAGGTACCCCGGCTGTGACAGGTGGCGGGGATGGGGGTCTCTCTCTCCAGCCAAGATGGCCAATTCCCTGCCCCCACCCCCCAGTCAGACAGTCCTTCCTGCAGGGGCTGCAGCTCTTACCAGCACTGTGGTGACGACGAGTGACCTGTTTGTCAGAGAGTCGGTGACATTGGGGCCTCGGCCTTTGGCAACCTCTGTGATATTGAGCCCATCGGCAGGACTCCAAACCCCAACCTGGATGGACAGACAGACAGAAAACAGGGTTCCGAGTCCTCAGTCTACCCATCCTTTCTCCACATCGACCAGACCATCATCTCATTCTCATTCGTCATGAGAATCATCATCACTGCTAATGTGACTTGAGCTAACTGTTCTAAAGATATCCCTGCTGCCTTCCCTCCATACCCCACCCCCGGGAGGCCCCCAGTGCAATGTGTTAAATCTCCTGAATTCTGCCACCTCCCCTTGCTAGCAAGCCCATCACAGCTGAAAGGGAAAGCACAGAGGGAGAGAGACAATGCAAAGGCAGCCCCAGGGATCCCAGGGGAAGGCAGCCTGGGGCTGAGCAGATGCCAAGTGGGCAAGGGTTGGGGAAACCAGGGGTCCTAGGTCAGGGCTGGGTCCTGCCTGGGGACATCTCCTGGGGAAGACCCTGTCCACCCAGCTGTTCTCTGCGCCAGTGCCAGCTCCCGGCCCCAGGGATCCCAGGGGAAGGCAGCCTGGGGCTGAGCAGATGCCAAGTGGGCAAGGGTTGAAGAAACCAGGGGTCCTAGGTCAGGGCTGGGTCCTGCCTGGGGACATCTCCTGGGGAAGACCCTGTCCACCCAGCTGTTCTCTGCCCCAGTGCCAGCTCCCTGGCACCAGTACCTTTCAAAGCCCAGGATGGGCCTGAAACAAGGGAGCTGTTCACTAAACATTTGTGCACCGAGTAAATGACCATGAGATGTGTCATGTCCAGGAAGGCAGGCTGGGGTAGAGGCTGGTCTTTATGGCAGTTTCAGGGCTGGCAGTAAAAGTGAGGGGGATGAACCTCCCTGGGGGCCTTGGATGCCACTGGGTTGCAAGGCAGTTTGCCTTGTGGTTTTACTTCTAAAGTTGGCAGATAACCTGGCCAATGTGGCATCATCTCTCCCCCCACAGCATCCTTATTGATATCAGGTCTGAGGCTGGATGGAGGAAAGGAAAGGTCACGTTTACAAATTGTCCTAAAGCCCTGGGCTGCTTGAAGGTCCTTTTTGATCTAACTTTGCCCAGCTCTGGTCAGCTCAGCTCCTTTCTCTCAAGGAAGGCATCAGCATGCCCACTCTGTCCTTGGCCCAGTTGGGGGTACTCTGGAAACTTAATCAATTAAACAGAGAGGCCAAATGCAAACACCCCATTCAGAGAGCTGTGCAAAGCAGATAGCAGGGAGACATGTAATTACGCTTGGGTAATTCTGCCTTAATCCTCCCAAAGCCACCGGCTGGAGCTGGCTGGATCAGCTATGACCCGGCTTAGCAAACAGAAGTGATAATATGGGAGGCAGAATGGCTGTGTTTGGGGGCTCAGCAACCTCTCAGGGCAGGATCTCTGCCTACGTAGACTACCCAGAGCCCCAAGGAGAGGAGACAGGTGCACAGCACAGAAGAGGCTCTTCTCTAAAGTGGGCCGAGCTCAGAGCCAAGCTCAGCACGAGGGTGCCTAGCATAGCCTCCGGGTGCAGGAGGTGCTCAACAGACATCTGTCCAGAGGCTGCATGAGCAGCAGGACCCTCACCCCAGCAAGCGTATGCTGAGCTCTGACTGCACGCCCTGCTAGATACCAGTGCCCTGGGGATGTGAGGACAGTCAGGACTGAGGATGTGAGAAAAGTCACCTGCGGAGGCTGTCTGCTCACAACCTGGGAGGCTGTGACTAGGAGCCTCTGGTGGGTGCCTCTGCAGGCCAACTTTTGTCCAGGAATAAGAGAAAGAGTTTTTCTTGAGTATTAGCTGTGGTCAATTTGTATCAGCTGCCTGGAAGGCTGTTGGGAGAAGGATGCTGCAGGTGGGCTCAGATGGAAAGAGGGCTCCAATGATCAATTACTGACGCCTGCCATGGGCTTGGGAGTGGGAAGTGGTGGCATGTGTGCCATCTAATTGCCATCCCTAGGATTTCAGGGTATCCCCAGAGATAAACAGCTGAGAGAGCCAAAATGCAGCAGCAACCTGAGTGAATGCTGTATTCACTGCAGTCCTGCTAGAGGAGGAAGGGCATTCTCCATCACCGCAGGGGCTTAAATAGAAACTGGAAGATCGCTTGATGAGAACTCATATAGTTTGTATGGGGTTGAACCAAATGGCCTCCATGAGCTTAGGAGTGGAGGCCACAGCCCCTGTCCTTAAGGAACTGATGCTATATGTGGCATGGAATAGTTGCAGAGGAATGAGGGGTTTCTCCAGCCAACCCCTCCCTGCACAGTGGCCTCCATGAGTCAGTGGGAAACTCAGCAGTGAACGCACTCATCAGGGCCACAAAGGGCAATGAGGCCTGCACTGTGAGCCAGGCAGAGCCAGGTCTGTGTCCGAGGGACAGAAGCCACATCCTATAAGCCAGGGTCACAGTGTGGCAAAGGCCTGGAGGTACAGAAGGCAGGGCGTGTGACTGAACCGTGGGGCATGTTTCAGGGAGCATTGGAAACTAGGCCAGCAGAGACTGGTTTGAGGCATTTCTTGGAGAGCCTCAAAGGCCTAGGGGAGGGGCTGAAGCTTAATGACTTGAGGCAGTTTCAGAGCAGGATAGAGCTGTGTTTGGGGAAGCCTCATCTGTGTGTACCCTCGGGTTGGCTGGAGGGTTCAAGAGTGGAGGTGGGGAAACCAGGGCAGGATGTTACAATAACCATGTAAGAAGTCTGAACCAGGGCAGTGCTGGGGAGGAGAGGAACCAGACTCCTGAAGGCCCAGAGGCATGGGAAGTGGCCCCTCCACTCTCTTGGCCTCTGCTCCCTGCACTTTACAGAACTCACCTTGCAAGGATGGAGAGGTACTCTTGTGGCTCTCAGGGACCAGCTTACAGTGGGGCAGGTGTGGCTGAGTCCCCCTGGCCCTAGGTCCCAGAGGATGCTGAGAATCAGGGGTGCGTGTTAAATCCCCTTCCTTAGCCTAGAAGCCTGACTTTGACAGAATATGCTGAAGGTTCCCAGGGGTCAGACTGGCCTCATTAAAACATTTCCATGTTAGTCAGATGGAAGGCCCCAGCCCCAGCCTTGGAAAGGGCCCACTTTCCTCGTCCAAACTCTCTGGAGTCATAGAGGCCTTAGAAGCCTGAAGTGGAAGAGGTCAGAATCCATGTACTTCAACCTTTTTCCAAAGGTAAGAATCACCTCCAGTCTCCCAGACAAGCAATTGCTCTGTCTTTGCCTAAATGCCTCCAGTGCCAGTGAGCTCCCTACTCGCCAGGCAGGCACACCTGGGTGGTTAGAAAGGTGGTTTACCCAAGGATGTGTCTGTCCTACTCATGACAGCCCTGCAGGGACTTAGAGACAGCCTGTTCTCCCCACAAGCCTTCTATTATGTTTCCCAGGCAAAGCATCTCCGACGGCGTTGCTCAGAGTGAAGTTGCAGGTGTTCACCGTAGCTAGGACACTGGCTTCTGCACCCCCCAGTCTGACCAGGCCTTCGTATCCTCTGGTGGACCCACAGAGGCACAAGCCATGCTGGATCACATTGAGCCCTGAGGGGGCAGCTGGACTGGGTCCTGCCCCTGCCTCTGGGCCTCTCTGGGGCCTGCCGTGGGGGGTTACGGAGGCCCTGCCCCTCTGCCTGACCCCCTCTCCTGAGCTACGCACCTTCTCCAGGCCATCCTCCTTCAGGCTGATGATGTCCAGATCAAAATCTGTCCGCAAGCCACTTGTTTTGTTGAAAACAATCCGTCCAGTTAATCCTTCCCATTGAGCCTGAGAAGGGGAGAGGGCAGAGAGGCAATTCCTCAGGCTCATAAATCATCATTCGGTACAACTGTACAATGCTTCATTTTAATTACTCCTTGCACTGATACTGCTCCCCCAAGACCATGATTAATTAATAATCACCTCCATCATTGCTCGGGCTGCAGTGCGAGCCAGCGATTTCCATAAATTCTATTATGCTCTTTAGCCAGCCTTACATTTGCACCTTCTCGTGTACAACATCGATCTCGGATGCGCTCAAATGAGCCCCCGCCTCGAAGCCATGGGAAGGGGGAGCCCGTGTCAGATCCCTGGAGAGGGGCAGAGAGGCAGGCGGGCAGAGCTGGGGCAGGAGAGACCCGCCAGGAGGCAGAAAAGCCAAAGGGCTAAGCTGGCCCTGGCTATGAAGTCAGACACTTGGAGTAGGCCCCAGAGAGACGGGGGAGACCGAGGTCACCTCCATGCCCCCAGCCTCAGCGCCATGCATGTTGTTGTTAAAAACGCTGAGGTCAGAACGCTGGGTTCAACCATGATTAGCAGTGTGACCCTAAGAATTTCATCTCACCGTTGCCTCAGTTTTCTTATCTATAAAATGGAACTAATAATACTATCCATCTTACCAAAATACTACGAGGATGAAATGAGATAAATCGTGTAAAATACTGAGAACAGTGCCAGGCACAACATGAGCCCTGAATAAATGGTGGGTTTTGTTATTTTTTGTTGTCATTAATATCATTAACACAGACAGAAGCAGGTAGAGGTTTGGGCAGATCTAAACTGTAGAAAGCTCCATCTTCTAGATCAGGGGTTGGCAGACTATGGCTGATGGGCCTAAGTGGCCCCTGTCTATTTTTGTGAACAGTTTATCAGCTCACAGACATGCCCTTGTGTTTACGTATTGTCTTCAGTCGCTTTTACACTGCCTGGCTCGCAAAGCCTATTTTCTATCAGCCCCTATTTACAGGGAAAGTTTGCTGACTCCATTCTAGATAGTGTCTTTCCTGTGGCCCAGAGCATTAACTCCACGACGTTCACACTGTTCATGTCATAGAACCTCTGCAGCAGCAGCCCTGGGAGGCAGGCCAGGTGAGGATCATAATCCCTATTCAACAGAAGGGGAAGCAAGCCTGGTGGAGGCTGGGAGTCAGTGGGGCTCACACAGTGAATAAGAGGTAGAGGCAAATCGAACTAGGGGTCCCGGGCCCCCCCACCCCTCAGTCTGGACCTGTTTCCCTCCTCTTCCTCCGGCATGGACTTAGGATGGTAGTCAGTAGCAGTTAAACACCCAAACTTCCTGTGTCTGGGAGAACACACCCCACACATCCTGGAGTCCTTAGGAACAAAGGTGGGCTGGAGGCCAGAGGATGGGAGAAAACCTGGGAGCTCGCACACCCAGCCTGGGCTGGAGCAAGGGTGGGGGAGGCAGGGGCCGTCCAGAGAGGAGGCAGCAGGACGGCTGAATATGGGAAGCCTGGCTCCAAGCCTTGCTTTGCCACATTGGGTCCCTACTCACACTGGGGCCATGCTCCTTTGCAGATTCCGAGAAAGGCTCCCCAGCTCCTTCCTGGGGACCCATGCATACACTCACAATTCAACCTACATGTTCATGGGTTCACAGATCCATCCCAAACTAAGCACTTGGCAGCTCTAAGGTACTGCAAAGTCTTCAGGATAGATGGGTAGATGGGCAAATGGGCATACTAATTCAGGCAGAGAAGCAGCGCCTTGGAGGTGCCTGGGAGGCTGGAAAATAGATGTGGTTAGAACGTAGGCTTTGCACAAGTGCTTTAACCTCTTTGATCTTTAGGAAAGGAAAAGTGACTACTTCACAGGTATTAGAAAATGTGTATAAAGTGCTTAGCACAATGCCTGCATAGACAATCACGATTAAGTGAAATAGATTATTATTACTCCTTTGTTGCTTTCACCCATGGAGCTCCCTTGCATTAGGGCTGGCCCTTGGCTGGGGAGGGAGGGGTGGTCACTTGGGCCAAGGCCCAAGGCCCCAGTAGAGAGCTGATCCCAGAGGGCTAGTACCCTTCTCTGCATGAGCTCACTGAGTGCTCACTGTGATCCTGCCTCCCGGTTTACAGATGCAGACACTGAGGCTCAGAGAGGGACTGAGATAAGCAGGTTCCAAATACCAGTGGGGCAGGGCAGATTCTCTTGCTGCTGCAGTAGCAGAGTTGAAAGGCCTGGGGTCACGGCGCCCAAGGTGCAGCGGAGAGAGTTTACATGGAGCCCAAGGAGCTGGGACCAAGGGGTTGGGACAGAGATAAAAAGATGCATCAGAGCAAGTGGAAACCGCTGTTTATGACTTCACAGGCAGGCTCAGCTTCCCCCAGGCTGGCTCCCCCAGGCCCTCCACCTTCCCCTCCTCTGCAGCCCCCACACCCTTGGGCTATCTCCTGGCCCCCAGGGAAAAACACAGCAGGGGCCTTCAAACTTGTACTCTGAAGGGAGCCTTTCTCCCTGTCAGCTACAGAGGAATTAAATGCCAGCAGGTGTGTGGCCTATCTATGGGCGGGTGGGCAGGGGCAGGGCAGGGAGCCGCTGGCAGCTCCTCCCCGTGACATTTCCCGGCCTGCCCGCCCCCTCTAGCCCGTGCTCAGGACTTGCTAAATGAAAGATGCTTCACACGCTCTGAACTCCGGCCTGGTATTTTCCAGCTCCTCTCGGAAATGCCAAGTCTTTAAAATGATTTACTGTCACGCAGTCAGATACGGAGACAGGCAACTTGGAAATGGTCCAAGGGAAGACTGTGTGCTGGACTCAGGCAGGGTGCCCGGGTTCTGGTCTTGGCCACTGTGGGACCATGGGCCAGCCATGTGGCTAATCTGGGCCTCAGCCTCCACAGCCCTACCATCTTCTAGATCAGGGGTTGGCAGACTATGGCTGATGGGCCTAAGTGGGCAAGGTGGGCAGGTGGGGGCGCGGGGGGAGAAGCCAGCCTTCCCTTGGCTGAGGAGAGATGGCAGCGGAGGAGGTGGAAGTAGAGAGGAAGGAGCAAAGCAGAGTTGCAACCTGTTAAAAACTGCCCAGTCAGGCGCTGTCCTGAGTACTCCACACACAGCACAACCCGTTTGACCCCCGCACAACCCTCTGAGAGACGTGCTACTGTGATCTCCATTGTACACAGAAGGATGCCGGGGCACAGAAAAGTTCAGGAGCTTGCCCAAGGTCACACAGTTACAAAGTGCCTAAGCTTCCAAGCCACTTTTGCTGGTCCCTTAGGCTCCCAAATCTCCCCACTGAGCCAGAGGAGGGACAGGGCAGCATTGTGGTCTAGGTCACCGAGACGTTCATGGCAGCCTAGGAGGGAGGTGTCAGGAAAGGGGAGTCAGGTCATAGACTTCTCTGAGTGCAAGCCAACGGTCACCCAGTCAGCCAGGCCTGCTCAGGGCTTCGCACAATGGGACGTCCTCTGCAGTTCTGATGGGTTGGGTGAAAAGGGACTGTCACGGACTTCTTATATGAAAACATCTGCTACTGGAGTCCCTTCTTGGGGTGAGGGAACGAGAGCCAAGGACTTAATCGCTCCCTCACAATGAGCTTGAGCTGGTGTTTGCCGGGCGAGGAAACTGACACTCAGGGTATCCCATAACTTGTCTTAACCTGTGAGAAGGGGTAGAGATGAGATTCAAAGGCATGTGTCCAGCTATAAAGCCTATGTCATATCCACATTCCTTCTAACATTGTCCTAACACACAGGAGGGGCTGTCATCGGTGTCTTCCTGAAGCAGGAATAGTGAACTCGGGAGCTCAGAGAAGCTGAGCTGGCAAGGTCCTCTGTTAACTGTCCTCACAGAGCCACCTTCCTTTGCATGTGGCATTGCACTCATCAATGTGATGACTTGATGACTGCCTGCCGCCCCCCAGGTTGTGAGCTCCGTGTGTGGGGGGGGCTCGACTCTTTTAGCCCCATTGGCCCTCAGTGCACAGTTCAGTGCCTGGCACCCAGCAGCCCACAACAAAAGGCTGTTGAATGAATGAATAAACTCCCAAGGCAGCTGCCTTGTTTCTGCTCCATGGTGTCACAAAGAGATCATCTATCCGGAGCCCTCCTAGAGGGCTTCCCCTAGCTGCCCTGGGTGTTGCCCTGGACACGGTCACTCCCTCTGGCCCAGAATAACCCTGTCTAAATCTCATCCTCCAGAGCCTTCCTCGTGTACCGTTTACTGGGATCTGACTCTACCCAAGTCCTGGGCTAGGGGCTTTCCACAAAGTTCACTCTGTCTTCCCAGCAACCTTTGAGGCAGGCACTCTTACTATCCCAAACTGAGGATCGAGGAGTTAATCATCTTACCCAAAGTCACACAGCTAGTTGGAAGAAGCCAAGAGGAAAGCCCAGGCCTCAGCTTCCCCACCCATAAAATGGGAACAATAAACCCTGCTGTCCACAGCTTACAAGGACAATGGCAGACAGAGAAGCATTTGAAATTAAAAGTTGCCATTGTGTGTTTCCACGGTCATCTTCAGCAGCGGGACAGATTTCATGTTCTCTGGTTCCTCTGAAATCAGCTCCGTGGATGGGGCATCTCCACAGTTGCCATGGCACCTAGGGAGCAGGGTCCTCACAAGTTTGTGAGGCTGATGGTTATTTCTTGTGCCTCCTCTGCCCCAGGCACTGCACTAAGCCCTTTCCACGTGGTGTCTCATTTCATTTTCATGGCATTCCTGTGAGTGGACATGCTCCATATCCCCCTCTCACAGATGAGGCTACTGAGGCCCAGCAAGGTTGTCCAGCTTGCCCAAGGGCACACAGCCAGGAAGCAAAGACCCTCACCTACTGTACTGTACAGCCTGTGATGTGCCCCCTGCTGACAGCACTGACCACCTACTGAGCACTTACCACATGCCAAGCACCCTGTGAGATTGTTCTCTTGAGCCCATTTTCACCTAAGGAAATTGAGGCTCAGAGATATGAAGCAACTTGCCTGAGTTCATACGGATTAGAAATCAGTTCTGTCTGAAAAGAAATCTACCCTATGACCCAGCTATCTCACTACCGGGTATATACCCAAAGGAAATGAAATCAATATATCAAAAATACACCTGCACTCCCATGTTCATCACAGCACTATTCACAATGGCCAAGAGATGGAATCAACCTAAATGTCCATCAGTGGATGAATGGATAAAAAACCCATGGTATGTATACACAGTGGAATACTACTCAGCTATAAAAAATGCTATCCCATCATTTGCAGCAGCATGGGTGGAACTGGAAACCATCATGTTCAGTGAAGTAAGTCAGGCAGAAAAGGACAAATACTACATGATATCACTGTTGTGTGGAATCTTTAAAAAAAAGTGATTCTCACAGAAGTAGATAGTAGAATAATGATTACCAGAGGCGGGGTTGGGGGGTGAGGAGAAGGGGTGGGCTAACGGGTACAAAACCATGCTGTCTACCCTAAGTGCATCACTGTGCAATACACGCATGTATTGAAACAACACACTGTACCCCACAAATATGTACAAGTAAATGTTAAAATATTTTGGATAAAAAAAGAAGTAAAATAAAACAAAATTTTCCAACAACAACAAAAAGAAATCAGTTCTGTCTGATTCCCAAATCTGGGCCCTCCACCACCCTGCTGCTCGGAGCACCAGCAGCCCCAGAGAGATGTCGTGGTGGGGGGCAGTGGGGGGACACTCACCTCCTTGATGAAGTTCATGAAGCGGCCGCCAAAGCGCCAGGCCTTGTGCCGATGGCACTGCAGGGAGTTCACGGTCATCTGGGGCGCCCGCTGGTAGCACACAGACACGATGTGGACGGCGTCGTACAGTAAGGCCGCGTCGGTCTGGAGAGATGGCACAGGCCAGCCTGAAAGCAGCTCCCGAGCCCCTGGAGTCCTCGTCCCACCCTACGGTCTCCTTTCCCTTCCCCGCCACAGACACGCAGTGTCCCAGTGAGGGAAAAGGCCCTGGGGCCCTAGAGGTGACCCTGTCCCTGCCCCTGGTGAGAGGCCAGGCTTGGCTGACTCCACTGCTCTGCAGACACCCAAGTGCCACCCTGTGCGGCTCAGACCTTTTCCTGCCAGTCCCTCCCACCCCCACCCCGTCACCCTGTGCTGTAACCGAGGCCCTGATCATACTTCTTCTTTCCTGCCTCCTCAGCCCTCACATCTGCTGTTCCTGTAACCATGTGTTCACACACGTGTACCACCCGCCCCAGATGGGCCCTCGCGGTGGGACTGTGTCTGATCCATCTTTGTGTCCCCAGCTCCTAGCTTAGGGTCTGGGAGACACAGGGAGGGCCTTAAGAAGAGGGGTGATGGGAGGGAGGGGAGAAGGAAGGCAGGGGCTGCCGCTGGGGTCTGGCCACCCCCACTCCGTACCATCATCACTCCATCCAACAGGCCAGACTCTGCCCGGGGAGCCGCCTGCAGCCGCTCCATGGACCACTTCTCCACAATGGCTGAGACGTGGGGGTTGTCCACATTGAGGATCCGGAAGCCGGTCAGGTTCACCCCTGAGTAGCGGTAGGGCTCCAGGTCTAATGCGTAGAGATCCTGGACAGAGAGAGGGTGTGGCCTGAGGCTGCGACTCCCTGCAGAGGCCGCCCACAGCGGCGATGGAGCAGCCCCAGCAGCACTGGCCTTGGAGCTCAGGTTTGCCGGGTGACCGGCCCCTCATGCTAACTGTGGGGCCTCAGCCTGCACCTTCATCTCCAAAATGGGGACCATTTCTCCTTTATAGGACCCAGTGGAGCAGTTCACGTAAAATGCGCAACCTCACACATCAAAGAAGCTCAATAACCCTGTTGGGGGAGACCCACTTTGGAAAGACAAAACCCTCCCGAGTTACCAGGAGGGAGGTTGAAGGGAGCATTTTATCCCCTAAAAGAGGGTATTTAAACATAGTCTTTTCTGCCTAGGACTCAAGAGTACTGCTACCCCCTCATCCAGCCAGCCCCCTCAGCCCCTGCCTCCTAGAGGCCCCTGACCAGCGGTCAGCCTGCCTGTCCAGGGCCGGGTGGCATCCAGCCTGGTGCAATGAGCAGGTGCTGCCTGAAGGTCCAGAACAGGGTCTTAACACAGGGGCAGCCCAGCTCTAGCCCCTCCCGCAGCTCCAGCTCTGAGGGCAAGGTGGGCAGGTGGGGGCGCGGGGGGAGAAGCCAGCCTTCCCTTGGCTGAGGAGAGATGGCAGCGGAGGAGGTGGAAGTAGAGAGGAAGGAGCAAAGCAGAGTTGCAACCTGTTAAAAACTGCCCAGAACTTGGAAATAAGGTGAAAGGAAAAGCCTGTGCTTTCAATATGACAATGAGACGTTGTTTACCAGGCCTGCCCAGGATACATAACTCTCCTGGAGAATTAACCTGGGTTTGACTTCACTGTGAGCCACTGTCCAAAAGCCCAGATTCTGGGTAACTTGTAGATTTTTGTTCAGTAGAAAAGATACAGTTGTGATTTTATTGCCTTGCAGGACATTAAACTGTTTTGCATGTAACCTCGAAATCTGGGCTAGGATCCCCCCAAATCCCTATAAATACCCAATTCCTCAAATGCTCCTGGAGCCAGCTTTACCACCCTACCGGCTCCCTCGTTAGCGGGTGGAATACATCTTTGACTCGTGTTCATTCCACATTGCACGAGACCTGTGGTTTTGACTCCTTGGAATACATGTGAGTACTTTGACAACCTAGACTGGCCCATTTCACTCGTGGGAAACTGTCTTAAGGTCACTGTCTGGGCTCCCTCGTTAGCGGGTGGAATACATCTTTGACTCGTGTTCATTCCACATTGCACGAGACTTGTGGTTTTGACTCCTTGGAATACATGTGAGTACTTTGACAACCTAGACTGGCCCATTTCACTCGTGGGAAACTGTCTTAAGGTCACTGTCTGGGCTCCTCCTCATGTCTTGTCTGTACTTTTCCATGCTCTCCCCCAACTGAGCTGCCTTCCACGCTGGCCCCCAGCCCATCCTCTGTCCTGGGTACCCCCCTCAGCCGCTCCAGTGGTGCTGGGGAAACACTTGGGCTGTGCTTGTCTCTCCATGGCTGCTGCCATCGTGAGTAACATCCAGCCTCACCACAGCCCCAGCTTCCATAAGTCAACGATGGCTCATGAAAATATAATGAGTGATAAAGCAGAGCGATCTTCCACAGCATGCTGGCTTCCTCTGGTCTCTGAGATGTTCCTAATTGATGCTCGACTCCTCCTGTTCCTCCTACACCCCCAAATGGTCTCCTTCTGGTATGCACTGTGTTGGTTTCCTCTCTGAAGGTGTGGGGAGCAGAAGAGAGGTTTGGAGCAGACTTATGACCAGGCAAGAAAGTCTAGTCCCAACCTTGCCCAAACAAATATGGACCTGATTCTAGGCCAGGATTTGGGATGGGGAAGGGACTGGGGAAGAGCAGGAGGCAAGGCTTCAGCATACTGGGGGAGTTCCCACTGAGATGGCCAGAGGGTGTCTACATGGGCCCAATCTCAGTGGGGAGTGGAGGGTTGGCACTGTGCTCAGCCCTGCACGTGGGGTGTATTGTTTAACATTCACAGCCCCCGTGAAATAGGTATTTAACAGTATTCTCTTTTTATAGGTGAGGAAAGAGGGCTGGCAGGGCGAGGTGACTAGCCTGAAGTCAAACAGTTCATATAAGGCAGAGCTGAATTTGCACCCAGGTCTGTTTTGATGGCTCACACGGGCTTGTGAGAGCTGAATGTTAGCATTTCTTCCAACTCTGCCTTCAGCGACATTACATGGGTAGCTTGATATTAGCCATAGTGGGAGTATTTATACCATGGAAACTGGCAAGCATTACAAGTCAGGGTTTTTGTGTTTTGTTTTTGTTTTTTTCCCATTCAGAGAGCTGGTTGTTAAACACTAACTAATACATCATTATCTATCTTATTTAAAAAATCCCTGTGCTCTATGGCCCCAGTGGTTTTTAAACACAAGACACACATCAATATTGTCTTTGGAGATTTTTTTTTATAGAGTATGAGTTTCTGAGCCAAATATTCTTGTTGCCCAAAGTGAAAAGAAGGGCCAGCCAGTCAAGTAGGTCCCTGGGGTACCTAAACATCTCTGGGAAGAGTCTGGAATGTAGAGACTAGTGTTTCATATCCTCATCTCAGGGGGAGCTCTCTGTGGGGCTGGGAGTTAGGAGTGGTTTGGCAAATTGCCTGGGGTAAAGAATGAGACCTTCCCCAAACTGCCTTTGAATGAAGAGGGTCTGGGGAACCGGAGGAATTTTGTTTTGCAGAGTGGTATATGCAAGTTTGGGGCCAGAGCTGAACTGCCAGGGCCACGAAAAGGAGTTCTGCCCCCAGGGGGTGCCCTCCTCACCCTTCCCGGCATGGGGCTCAGCCTCTTCTTCAATTCAATGCCACCCTAATATGTAAGGCTTGAAAGATGCCAAAGCATTAGCCTGCCTAGGGCATCCATGACTCAGTTTACCCTCTCTAGGACCAGAGGCCCATCTGACTCTGCAGGAAGGGTGGCATCTCTGGCTTTGGTGGAGGCATAGGTGCTGGTGAAACCAGCCTTTCCAGTCTCCAGATCCAGCATATGATCTGTTGAGACTTACACAGTGGCTGTAGCCAACCACAGCCTGTGAAGGGGCTTGATGGGGTGGCAGCACTGGGGGCCACCTTCCTCCCTGTTGCTCCCAAGCCTGGCTTAGCTGCAAAGCATTATAGAACTTGCAGCACAGAGTGCCTCCATCCTTGTGACGTCAGGGCTGTGACACTGGGAAGCTGGTGAAGAGGTCTTTGTCCAGTTCCAATTTTTTGTCCAAACTGCCCTGGGCCGAGACCCCAAGTGCTGTACACAGTGAACTGTATGCAACCTTGTTGCTTGGCAAAAAGTTGCATTCTTGATGCCAAATGTTGACACACTGAATTCAGTATCGACGAGGGACCTTTTAGAAACATTCAGCATAACATAATAGACTAATTCATTAGCACCCCATGGGTCTGAATGGGGAGAAGCTGAAGCTTGGAAAACATCGCCTTAAGGAATGACAGATGAAAATATCTTTCCCATGATATAACTGTTATTGCCGGAAAGTGGCATTAATTGTGATTGCTTATCTATTAATTTATTATAATTCTTTTTTCACCTCCAGGCTTTTACCTACACGTGACATGTAGCAGGGGCTCAGCTGGCACTGATTAACGCGGGGTTATCTGGGAATGGCTCAAAGCTGGCTGGAACAGATAATGGTGCTGGGGTAATTAAAATGTCTTCTGTATGAGAGAAGCAAATTTGGAGAATTCTTTAGAGGCAAGGAGTTGGTGACGTGGGTTTCCTAAAGGGAAGGAGATAGATGCTAAATGTCACTGCCCTCCCGAATACAGCCACAACTGACCAATGGGCACAAAGAGAGAGAATCACAAGGTAGAGTCTGAAGCCAAAAGGGCTAGAAGGAGGCTCCTGAAGCTGGAAGCAGGACGTGGGCTGGGGGAGAGGACCCAGGGGGACGCAGCTGATGCCCTGACATGTGGGGGTGCTAGGAGATTCCCTGGTAGACCCCATTGCAGAACTGTTTGCATGACAGGAGCAACACCTCCCTGGAAGGGTCCACTCTTCCTGACACTCAGAGGGGTGTGGGGAGGAAGGGCAGTGGGCTGGAACAGCCATGGCAAGACCAGCAGTCAGGAGCCGATGCCTCTATCACTGATCTGCTGTGAGGCTTCAGGCCAGTCATGCAACCTCCCTGAGGCCAGGTTTCCCCATTGGGCAGTGGGGAGCACAAACTCTACCCTGATGGCCTGGAAGCGATGAAGAGGAAAACCAGCCAATGCAGAGAGGGCTTTGGAACCAGAAAAGAGTGGGTGCTACTGGCAGAGGCTCTGTTCTCCCCGTTAGTATCAATCACCATGCCTGGACCATCATGGCCAGGCATCGTATGGGATCCAAGCCAGCCAGAGGGGGCCGGGGAACACTTCATGTGGACTTTCAACATGACAGGTTTCAGTAGAGGGCTTTGGAGCTGGACGGCTCCCAGCTGGGAAAAATCCTTGCTCTGCCCTTTTCTTGCTGAGTGACCTCTCTGAGCCTCAGTTTCCACTTTTCAATAAAACTGGGAGACTCATACCTGCCTTGGAGAGTTGTTTTGAATTCTGGATGAAATGAGGTATGCCAAGCCACACAGAAAATAGGAGCAGGAGTTATTTAATTAGTTTATTTAAACTCTTACATACTAATAAGTGCCAAGCATTGTTCTAAGCAGTTTACCAATCTCAATGTATTAGTTACTCATCGTCACAGTCCTATGAGGTAGCACGGCTATGGTCACCATTTTATAGAAGGGAAAATGAGGCACAGAGGGGTTAAGGAGCTTGCCCAAGGAAGTGGAACAGACTCAATTCTAAGTCAGGCAGACTGGCACCAGGGTCTGTGGTCTTAACTGACGGCTGCTATAATGATGTGTTGATAATTTCACTGACTACTTTCTACTTTGTATTGCAGTCATCCATCTATCCAGGCACTAATGAGAAACTACCATGTGCCAGGCAGTATTTGGGCACAGTCCCTGATCCTTACATACATGAAGGAAGCCTACCAGCTTATGTGTCAGATCCATCTTTGCACACCCCTCCCATCCCAGTGCCTAGCTCGTGCCTGAGACCTTAGAGAACATTTGTATGTGGCTCCTGGATAAATACATAAATGAATGATTGAATTAAAGAAATGAAAAGTAAAGGATATGGACACTGCCTGGGGCTAGAGGAGGGTCCTGGGCACTAAGATCCTTTCTCTGAGACTCCCGACCTTGACCCCTGTGGGCAATGGCATTAATGTGGAGGGCACTGGGATCACAGGGGTGGTGCCTTCTCCAGAGTCTCGCCCTGGAAGACAGGTCAGGCCACAGGGCAGAAGGTCTAAAGCTTCAGGCCCTGCTGTTCTACCAGCTCCCTGAGGGGCACCCTGTATGGCCTTGGAATGAGGGCTTGAGCCAGGCAGAGATGCTTTAAATTGAATATTTAGAGCTGGGACTGCAAACAAGGCCCAAAGCGGGTTTAATCCCAGGCCCTGTGTGGACAACGTGGGCGAGGGGAGCAATCTTCAGGTGAGAACGAGATCTGTGGATTTTGTTCCTGCCCTAACCACACCCGATTCTAAAGGAAACTTCCCATGTCCCAAGCCCTTCTGCTTCGTGGCTCGGTCTTGCATTCTGTGAGCCCATTCTGTGCCCCCTTCTATGGCCAGACCACAGCTGATTGGCCAAGGAGTGGGCACCTGTCCCACGGGTGGTTCCTATAATCTGGCCGATGACCCAGCTCCGACCCTGGGAGCATTTAGAAATGTGGTCCCTTCTATGGCCAGACCACAGCTGATTGGCCAAGGAGTGGGCACCTGTCCCACGGGTGGTTTCTATAATCTGGCCGATGACCCAGCTCCGACCCTGGGAGCATTTAGAAATGTGGTGACCATTCGTTTATTTGTCACCAAGACTGGAAATTAGTGAATGGGGATCATGGATGATAAACATGGTATGCTGGGCAGGACATTCTGGAATGAGGAATTGTCCAGCCCAAATGCGTCGAGTGCCCTGTTGAGAAACTCTGGCCAGTGCTCAGGCAGTCAGTGATTTGATCTGGTAATACCCAGAGAAAGAGGTGGTGAGAAGGAGCAGAAGACAGATGGATGGTCGGATGCAATGTGACATGCCCAGGTAACTGTGATGCGCTGAAGTCTCCAGATCTCAAGGAAGGAGCAGAAGCCAAGAGCAGGGGAGGGGCAACGGGGAAAGGGGGGATGGAGCAGTCTGGCTGAGTCAATCCCGGTGGTGTCCAGAACTGCTCTGGATCCAGAACCACCCTCCATACCTGCCCATGGCCTGGTGGTTCATTTTAGACATCTCTAATGACTTGAGGTTACTTAAGTGAATTTTGCTCCTTACAACCAAGAGAGACCAAATGAGGGTTCTGGGACCCAGAAGCATCACAACATACTTATTCCTGTTTTATAGACAAGGAAACTGAGGCCCAGGGAGCTTAAGTATGTCCCCCATGTGCATAGCTAAGACGTGGTTGGTGGAACAGAGACTCCCATCCATATCTGCCTGCCTCCCGGGCCTGCTCTGTCCCGCTGTGCTGGAAAGCAGCGTGGAGGGCGGATGGGCACAGTCTGTAGGCGGACCCCCAGCAGTCCTGGAAGATCTGCCTGCTCCCACAGTGTTTCCTATGATGGACTCCAGGGCTTTGTCATAGCAACCCAGAGTGCCAGAGACTTAGGGAAGTGAGCCAGTGGGATGGAAGTTTACGAAGAATGTGCTGAGTGGCTGATGCAGAGCTGGCTGCGACTGCCAGGGCCCAGAAGTTGGTCTCAGCCCTTTTGGAGCCCAGGCTGGGATGGGGAGGGCTGCCTAGGGCCCTTGGAATGTGCCCCACCCCACCTTCCCAGTCTTGGTCCTCTGCCTGCTCCCAGCTTTGGATAGAGGTAGAATATCAGGGATCTGGTGGCCTCATCCAAAGCCTCCTATGACTTTCCAGGATACAGAATGGCAGGGAGAAGCTATTTGGGTGGGCAGAAATCTGGAAGGGTCTTGGGGGAGAAGTCGCCTGGTCTCAGTCACCAGCTTCCAGGCCCCCTTTCTCACAGCATGGCTCCTGGCAGGTCTGAGCCCTGGATCAGGAGAATGTGCAGGGGGACCCCTGATCACTGCCATGAGGACAGGGTGCAGTGGGCATGGGGTATAGGGAGGGTAAATGCTAAGTAACCTGCTCTCGGTGGGGAGGGACCCTTATCCGTAGCATTTGCCAGCTTCTGTGGTGTAGGTGCTCCCACTACAGCTGATTTCAAGGTGCCAGTGGGATGTAGATTTGGGAGATGAGCATAATCGGCTCTCGCACAATCGGCTCTCGCACACTGGAGAGAGCCAGCTCCAGCAGACCACTGAAGAGCTGACCTGCCTCTCAGCCTTTGCTTATGCTGCTCCCTCTATGTGGAATACCCTTCCTCTCTCCCTTGCTGAACTCCTACTGACCCTCTGAGGCCCAGTTCAAGCATCTGCTTTTCTGTAAAGCCTGCCTCAAACTTCCCACCTCGCACCAGGCCCTCAGCACCTAGGATCTCTGTGTGCCATGCCCACGGCTGTCTGTCCTGGCCTGCGATGGCACAAGCCTGCTGTATCAGCTCCAGACACAAATACGAAGGCCTCAGCCCTAGCCATCTTGCGACACTCAGCACAGGCGCTGGGTAAGGAATATCAACTGGGAACTGGATAAACAAATGCAAACAGTTAGAGGCCTGCAGGGCCGCAGCAGCGGGGCGACACAGACTGCGGGAGGCTTGTTTCAGCGAGAGGATGGTTAGCGATCCTGTCACTTGCCCCAGATACAGATGGGTGGAATAGTCCTCCCAGGGCCCCAGTGAGGTCTGAGGGTATCTGGCTCCCCAGCAGGGTGGCTCAGTCTTGGTGCCCCTCTGGCACAGGGATCTCTTTATTCTGCTGATCTCAGGCCACAATTAATTATCCTAATGGGTTTAAATGGCCCTAAATGTTCTCAGAATTTGGACAGGACCCATCTGGAGCCTGCAGGTGGGCTGGCCCGGCCGACAGTGAGTGGGCAGACTTCAGCACGGATATTGAAGAAATCCAAAGCAGCAAATCCTGCTGTTGTGTGAGGCTGGAGACAGGCGTGGGGAAGCGTGGGCTAGGATCCAAGGGTGGTAACAGTGACACCAGCTAATACTCCCACAGCTCTGCATGCACCCGGCTCTGCTCTCAGCATTTCGCCCTATGAACTCATTTAGTCCTCACAAAAACCTAGGAGGAAGAAGCCCATTTTGCAGATGAAGAAACTGGGGCAGGGGGGTTAAAAGACTTTCTCAAGGTCCTACAACCAGTAAGCAGAAGAACTTGTGTTCACACGGGCTCCAGAGTTCACATCCTTAATCATAACGTGATGTCATCTCTCAAAAGTGGGCGGGCCACAAGGACATCTCACCTGGGGCCACACCTATGGCCTTAGGAAGCAAGTGCAGCCTAGATCTCCTCTAGCTGCAGCAATTGTCCCCAGGCTGGGCCACACTGACCTTGCTCCAACGGGGCCCACCCCCTCCCCATGCTAGGGCCCAGGGGTACGTTACCAGAGTGGTGAAGATGAAATGGTAGTACTCGGTCATCATGCCCATGGCCATGGCCTGCGGGAAAGCAGAATGTTAGCAACGGCAGGGAAGACCCGATCACCACCACCACTCCCCCACCCAGGGGTGAGGATGGGTACAGGCCAGGACTGGCCATGGGTTGGGGAAGGCTGGCTGTTTGGAATGGGGTGTTCTCTGAGACCACCTCCAAACAGTGGCAATGACAGACTGGCAGACAGCAGTGGAGTTTGCACTGGAGTGTGCAGCAGGATCACTTGGGACAGGTTAAAATGCAGATTTTTGGGACATAGTCTCCAAAGATTCCAAATTCTGCAGGGCTGGCTGGGTCCACTTGTCTGTCTTTTTAGTAAGCATCTCAGGGCCTGCTACACCTAGAGACATGCTGATGGAATCAGCCAAGACTGCCATTTCTCAAGTGCCCTGGACTCCACTCAGCTGAGCTCACGTCCTGGCTCCAGAGAGCGTGCTTCCCCTGCCCCCAAACCCAGCCAGGCCCGAGGAGGAGGGAAGAGGGTCTGTCCTCAGTCTGACCCTCCCCCAGAAGGGCTGAGACAGCCTGCTTCCCGGGTCCTGGCTAATCACAAAGCAGGCCTCATGGCTGCTGTGGAATTATTATAAACCATCATGCAGCCTACATTATATATATTTTATGTATTTTATTAGAAGCCTATAATCTATAATACTAATGACTATAATGCATTTTCTAGGGAGTTCCTCAGAGTGCTGGGCCCACGAAGTGCTCTGGGGGAAAAATGTCACCGGGTCAAGCACACTTTGAAAATGCTGCTCATTTCTCCCACTCTCGGAGATTCACAGCCCACATCGGCACCGTAAGGGCTCAGAGAAGTCCTGCAGTAAGCAGGCAGGCTTAGCTTTGTTTACTTTCATGTTTAGCCAAGCACGGAATCTTCATTTTTAATTCTAGAAGTTTTCAAGTCAGACAGATCGGGGAGAAAATTCCAGCTCCCTAGCTGGAGGACCTTGGGCCTGTTACTTTTCCCTTGAGCCTCAGTTTCCTCACCTGTAAATTGGTCATGATAATGAGGGCTCAGAGAAGTCCTGCAGTAAGCAGGCAGGCTTAGCTTTGTTTACTTTCATGTTTAGCAAAGCACGGAATCTTCATTTTTAATTCTAGAAGTTTTCAAGTCAGACAGATCAGGGAGAAAATTCCAGCTCCCTAGCTGGAGGACCTTGGGCCTGTTACTTTTCCCTTGAGCCTCAGTTTCCTCACCTGTAAATTGGTCATGATAATTATCCCTATTTCCCAGAATGGTAGTAAATGAGGAGCTACATGTACCTGGCACCAAAGTTATGATCGTCACTATTATTGTGTCACACATGCTGGGAAGAGAAGGGTTAGCACGTGGCACAGGTCACCAGGAGGATGAGGTTTAAGGGATTTTTGGGGAGCGTGTGTTTCCTTGACAGCAGCTTTAATGATGCCTCATGTCCATGTGTTGACTGCGTGCCGGGCACTGGGATAAACTCTTTGCTTTCTCATCTCATTGAAAGCACGGAATCTTCATTTTTAATTCTAGAAGTTTTCAAGTCAGACAGATCAGGGAGAAAATTCCAGCTCCCTAGCTGGAGGACCTTGGGCCTGTTACTTTTCCCTTGAGCCTCAGTTTCCTCACCTGTAAATTGGTCATGATAATTATCCCTATTTCCCAGAATGGTAGTAAATGAGGAGCTACATGTACCTGGCACCAAAGTTATGATCGTCACTATTATTGTGTCACACATGCTGGGAAGAGAAGGGTTAGCACGTGGCACAGGTCACCAGGAGGATGAGGTTTAAGGGATTTCTGGGGAGCGTGTGTTTCCTTGACAGCAGCTTTAATGATGCCTCATGTCCATGTGTCGACTGCGTGCCGGGCACTGGGATAAACTCTTTGCTTTCTCATCTCATTGAAGCCTCCACTCCTGTATGAGGAGGAGATTGTTAACCCCATCTACAGAGGAGGGGAATGACCCCAGGGCCACTTGCTGTAGGGCACACAACACGGAAGGGCAGAAGCAGGACTCGGACTCTCAAATGAGCCTGTTAACTGCTGTGTGGAGCAGCTTCCTTTGTGGGGACAGAAGATAGAGGCTGTCATTTAGCTTGGGCACTCCTCGTGGGGCCCAACCGGAGGGAGGGACTTGAGCCCCTCAGAACACCCCTGGCCCCTGCTCAGCACCTCTCGCCCTGTATCCCCTACTGGGTGTGTTCCCTGCTGGACACCTGGACCTCACCAGGTCATGTGTCAAAGCCCACAGAATGCCTCCTCCAATCAGCAGGGATGCTTTATGGAAGGACATAATTGCCTTTCACACAAAGCTCTGCCCCAAATCAGAGTGTTTTTGGTTTCAGTTGTGACACCTTTGGAGGGGATTGCAGGCAATTTTGCTGTTTATTTTCTTCGGTGGCTGGCAGAGCTTGGCTCTGGTCCCCAGCATGCCACGCTGAGCTGTGTTCGGCAACGGAGGCCATTCCAGGACTGAGAGCCATTCTCCGCCCCCACCATCACTGTAGGGCTGAGCAGATGGTACGAGGAACCTCGATAAACTTCCCAGTAATAGGAGAGTAACACCAGGTGCCGGGGGCTACGGGGAATTAGTCACTGGAAGAGGCAGCGAGGCATTCTGGGAGCTGTTCTTGAGAATCCAAGGCTGCTCTGTGCTTCTGGAAGTGTTCTGCTCCTGTGTGGCTCCGGGCATCCCTCGGAAGCCCCTGCCTCCCACCAGCACAGAGGTGCAAATGAAACTAGCATTTACTCAGCACTTTCTGTGTGCTGATCATCTTTTGTCACACTGATTCAGAGTGGAAAGACAACTGTGTCCATTTTCCTGCTGGTGAAACTGAGGCTCAGATGGACAAAGTGACCACCTAAGGTCACAGAGCAGGAAAAAGGCATAGCTAGGTGTCAAACTTAGATCTGGCAACATCCTACCTGTATTTGGGAAAGGGGAGGAGGGAGAAGTGGCAGGCAGACCCTAACCCTCCCTCCCGCTGGCCTGTGCTCAGCCACCTGCTTGAGGATCTGAGCTGCCATGGTGTGGCTGCAGTCGAAGATAATGCGGAATTCCCGGCCTCGCTTCATCTCCTTGAGCAGGGGGCGCGAGTCATCAGAGTCGATAGGGAGCTGGCGGATCTTCAGGCGGATGTTGTATCTCGATGGGGCCATGATGAGTTCCTGCAGCCGGATGAGCCCTGAGGGGACACAGGGCACAAAAGACACACGTGTACATGAATGTATACATAGCTGCAGGCATCTGCTCAGAAGCGTGTGCCTGTGGCCACAGGTCTGCAGAAACACATGGACACAGACACATGGCCCATGGAGATATGTACATGGACATGGCCACATGTGTCCAGAGAAAGGCATAAAGACACCCAAGCACAGACATGCACACACCTGTACCTGCTCCACGATGGACACAGACACATGGCCCATGGAGATATGTACATGGACATGGCCACATGTGTCCAGAGACAGGCATAAAGACACCCAAGCACAGACATGCACACACCTGTACCTGCTCCCCATACACAAAGATCTGAGTGTAGATGTGTGTGCACATAAGAACACATAGGTGCACACATGCGCATGTTGATATGGATAGGGCATACACTTGGGCTTATAAATATATATGTGCATATTTAGATAAAGGCCTGTGCACAGAGACATGTATACACACATAGATTCAAAAGCAGGCACAGACAGCAAATTCCCACTGACCAAGCCCACCTACTCCTCTCTATCCCAGAATGGGTGTAGAGACTTACAGAGCCTGAATCGCAGGCCACCCTTCTTATTCTGCACCCACCTCCACCGCCACATGTGATGCATGGGACATAATTTGCCTAAACATCTCCAGCAAAGCTGCTTCCAGGATGTGGTCACAAGAGGTGCCTCCAGCCTCAATTGCACTAACCTGTACCAACTGTTGGACTAGGTAAGGCCGGGTGGTATTTGTGCCCCTTTCCCCCAGGACAAGCTGTCTTGGTAAACCCTACCCATTCTTCCAGATTTAATGCAGCCACCTCTCCCATGAAGCCTTCCTCTATTGCTCTGTTCAGAAAAGATCCCCCTCCTCCCCAGCATGAGTCTCCTCTGGCCCCACCTCACTTCCCTTATCCAGCCACAAGCACTTTCATATTTGGGGCTGGGTCCCCATAACCCCTAGCACAGGGCCTGGCAATTAGGTAGTACTCAACAAAAACTTCTGTAATTGAATTGACTTACTGTTTTTTCCTCCCCACAGTAAAAAATCTATCCTCCACCTTGGCATTTTGTAAAACCACTTAATCTGGGGACTTCCAGGGAAAACTGAATGTCACTTCCTGGAGACAAATGGCTTGCTTAGGTCTAATTAAGTCCATTTCTGTCCCAATTCCAAGGTCCATTCTTGCTGACTCCTTTCTGCATAGCCTGGGAGCAAGCCTGCTTCTGTACCCTACCCCGCACCCCACCAGAGGGAGGGGCTGAGCCAACACAGGGCCAGGTCCCAACAGGCTGTCCCCTCCCACATGCTTGGCCCCTTGCCCACACTCAGAGCTCAGTATCTGCATCCTGGCTGCATCGTTCACACAGGCATATTCCATCCCTTCACTAACAGTGCTCCGATTTTCCTTTGGGGAACAACTCCTCCTCCACCCTCAGTTTAGGTGACTCAGGAGGAATCCATGCCCAGCTCTAGGGCCAAGCATGTGGCCCCAGCCTGGAGCATCAGTACAACCCACATGAAGAGGTATTGACTTAGAGAGAGATTGTGACATAGTTGGTTCTATCAGAGTGACTCCCAGAAATTATGCTAGAACAACTTGTAAGAAACACCCCCTTTTCCATTCAACTTCAAATAGAGAGGATATAAGTTTTCCTCTCGTCTTCTCCTGTGCAGGTCACCAATAGAACTTGAAAAGGATTCTGACAGGGCAGAAGTCAGAGAGGACAAATAGAAAATAAGTCCTGATGATACTCATTTGCGCCTCTGGTTCAAACAGGACCTGAAGCTAAATCACCCTTGAACTTTCCAGTAAAGGCAGCCAACAATCCCCCAGCCTTTTTTTTTTTTTGCTTAAGTTACTGTGCACTAAGTGAAAGTTTGCAATCAACTGTCACAGTGTCACAGTGTCCCCTATCTGGCAAAAGCCTCCTTCTCCTATCCCCAGCCCTCTTCAGAAGCCTTTCAACAGAGAGCCTAGTTTTCAAAATAATCTCTGGTACACATGCCTGGGACTGTTGAGCTCTCACTCCCATTCTTGAGAGATGGATGTCAGGAAAGCAGTCTGATTGGTGTCCGTCACTCCACTCTGCTGGGGAGGACAGAGACACATCCCTGTAACCTAAGGCCCCCAAAGAGCTCCCAAATAAGCTTTGCCATGGCTGTGGGCACCAGGAATCCCCAGCCTACTGGAAAGTCTCAGACTCAGGTGCATGGGTTTGGAGAGAGCTCTGAAGTCCTAGAATGGTCTGGATCAAACAGGGACCCCAGTGCCTTCTAACACCAGACTTGATGGGGAGGAGGAAGAGGATATCAGTTGACTTTAACAAAAGAGGGAGAGGCTACAAGCTACACCCAAACACACCCAAGCCTGTCCCCCTCGCAACTTGTCCTAGAAATTCTTGGTTTGGATGAAGGACCCGGCCCTTTCACACCTGTTACCCCATGAAGCCCACAGTACATTGTTTGCTCCCACCTGCTTGTTTTTCAGACTCATGCACAGCATCAGCAGGCATGTGGGCTTTGGGGACCTAGGACATGAGGGCAGGGACAGGCTGGATGATGGAGCAGAGGCCACTAGGGCCTTCTTGTCAGCCAAGCACATCGCCCCATGTAATGCATGGTGAGCCACATTCTCCAGTGGCAAATGTCAGCCCTGCTTCCCATCAGTGTGTTCCCAGAGTAGGCCAGAGGCTCCTCTCGGCCCACCCCAGCAGAGAACTAGGTTCTCTTTGTTTGCCTGAGCTTAGCTTTCCTTCCTGGCTGCTTCCCTAATCAATCTCTTAAAATATCTGCAGTGAATCATGGTTGTTGGAATCATGCTTTTCCCTTACAGAGCACTTCTGCATTCATTACCCTATTTAACCATCTCCCAATCCTAGAAGGCATTTAGAATAGGGGTTTTTATTCCAGTGCTACAGAGATAGAAACTGAGAACCAGAGAGGTTAAGTGACCTTCCCACACTTTTGCAGCATGCTAGCAATGGGATCAAAATTGAGACCCAATCTTTTGACTCTTGGGCTGGGGTCCTTTTCTCTACTCCAGGTTTTTCTAAACCCCTTCCTTTCAGCCTTGATATCAGTTTGTCTGTAACAATTCAGGTCAGGAAGCTAGAGCTGCGGCAAACCTCGCAGGGCAAGCATAGGCTGCCTCCTAGACAGCCATTCCCCCAGAGGCAGATGGCCCCAGTTCTTCATGCCTCCCTATATCCATACTCTTTGCCATGAAACTTTGCAGTGCTCTCCAACTGGGCTCAGCCATGTGACTTGCTGTGGCCAGTGGCATCTTAGCAGACATGCTGCAGGCAGATGCTGGAAATGACTACACACTGGGTTGTTCTCTGGTGCCTCTGCCGTTGTCATGACCACATGCTTGGGCTTGCTGGAGGATGACAGACGTGTGGAGGAAAGCCTGTTCCCCCCGACCCCCCGCCCCAGTCAAGGTCAGCCTAGATTAACCAACAGCCAGCTGACCCCCAGGCTGATCTAGCTGAGACCGGACAAACCACCTAGCCAAGCTCAGTCAATTGCTGACCCTGCAGATTTGTGAGCTAAGCAAATGCTTATTTTAAGCCACTGGATTTTGGGGGTGGTTTGTTATAACACAGCATTATTGTAGAAAGAGATGACAAATGCACCTCCCCCTAGCATGCTAAAAGAACCATGATTTTGTTTGGGTGGCAATGTGTCAGTCCCAAGAAATGACTCATAATTGGCAGGAGCCAATCAACGGTGATCCCATTCCCATTTGATAGTGTCTACAGTAGTAGGCACGAACCCAGTGAACTATACAGGACTGTCTTCTAGAAGGTTCCGAGACAAATTTTCCTCCCTGATAAGAGGCATGAGTCACATTAAGAAAATTCTCTTTGTCTTTTACCTTCTTTTTTCCTGCTTGGGTGTCATCTCGTGAGGAACTGCAGCAACTCTATTGCACCTGTGAGGGGACAGCCAAGAGGGCTGTGGTGATATCACACAGCACCCTGACTTTGTCGAGCTGCTAAACCAGCCCAGAAAGGCCCACCTTCAGACCTCTTGTCAGTGAGATAACTAAGTGGCTTGATCGAGTCAGTTTGAGTTTGCTGTCTGTTACTCACAGACGAAACATCCCACCAGACACGACTCCCAAAGTAAACACGGCCAGGGAGACTGCTACGAAGTACTTCCCATTGCATGGGCTTCATGACCCACAGGTTGTCCTGCCCTTTGACGTATCCTGATTCTGGGAGCACACCTCCTGCTACCCACTGTTCATCATCACAGTCACATCATTGTTGGACTGATGCCAACCCTGAATCCCTCGTACCAATTGTCTTCTTGACCAAACATGCTCTCCCCCATGGACTCCCCTATGTTTTTAAATATTTGTTGAACTGAATTGAATCAAATTAGAAATCAAGTTGAATTAAACTCTAATTAAATATTGCAGGAAAGAGTGTGTTGAGCACTGGTGAGCGTGAAGAAATAAAGATGTTGTTATCCTGTCTTCTTTTGAGAAGTTAATCATATTATAGGGGAGCGGGTGCCCACCCAGAGGTCCCTGGTCATTCCAGGCCACCAGAGCTAACAATCAAGGGACATTACATACCTCAGCACCAGCTCTGAGCAGTTGCACTCATAAGGCATCCATCATTTTCTTCCTCTGCGAAGCCTCCCCCACCACCCCATCCAGGCTGGAGGCCCTGGCACTGCTGGGCAGTGGTTAATGCCAGTGCGTGTTCTGACAGCTCACACTCATGACACTCCAGTTGCGTATTTTACACATCGCCTTGCTCACATCCATTTCTTCTCTTCCATTCTCGCCCCACGTTCTCCTCCAAGCAACCCCCAAATGCAGCCTTCCTTTGTTCCTGCCTGGACCAACACCCCCCTTCAGTCTTCTTGCTGCAGGCTGTCCTTCCAATCCTCCCTGCGCTGCTCTCACAGCCACCTTCTGACACTCTGCTTTGTTATTCCACTCCTTCTCTCATCAACACTCAACAGTCC